ATAATCGATTACGTTATATATATATATATAACATAATCGATTATGTTATATATATATATATAACATAATCAATTATGCTGTATATATATTATGTTTCGTTCCTCTGTTGTTTTTGTATGTATGAGGTAGGGGTATTTTTGGATTTTCACAAGTCTTACGTGTCTTTCACCTTTTTTCTTCTCTTTTGTGCGAGGAGAGTAACATGCTTCCCCTCTTCTTTCTTCGCCTTTCTTTCGTTCTAAATCAGGGGAAACAAACGGAAACTTTCAACGCCTTTCTTTGCTCGTGTATAGTACTCTCCCGGAAACAAACACTACCTTAGTCATATATATGGCTGTATGCCAACATCAATTCATACATATTTAAAAAACAATAAAAACTTGACTTCAAAAAAGTTAATGACGATAAAAATTATATAAAAACTATTTATAAAAATATTTAGTTAATAGAAAATTAATTTAGTCATAGGAAATATTTTTTATACTTTATTTTTTTTTGTCACAGTTGATATATTTTTTTTATCAAGTAAAATTTATTTTAAAATATATTTTAAGCACAATATTTTTCATTTCAAATAAATACCTATGCAATACATCAATTCTACCTTTGCTTTTAGAGAGAAAATTTGAAGTAAGAGGAACTTGATGTTACAATAAAGGCGATACATGTTCCAATAATCACCTTTTGATTTCTATTTTTGTAGAACATTGTTAATTTGTTATCCCTCTATACACTTTATAATTTTAAAAATTACTCACTCTCCAGTAAATAAATAAAAAAACTGCCACTCTCATTTATAATTACTTATTTTCAAATCTTAACATTTTTTTTACAAACATATTTTTTCAAGACTTTTCAAAAATAAATAGTGAGGTTCTTCTACCCGCATATATAATTTTTTATTTAATAATGATAAATATATATCATTTCATACATTAATGAAAATTATAATATTTATTAACTTAAATAGGTGAATAATTATATAATTTTAAAAATTATTTATATATATATTAATTTTAAAATTATTAAATTTTTAATGAAGAAACTAAAATTATTCAAATATGATACTTAAAGAACTAAATTGTCATAATTAAAAATTGAGATACTAAAATTGTATAGTTATAATATTTAAAGAATTAAAATTATTTAATTAAAATTTTATGAACTAAAATTACAGTGTTCAAAAAATAAAAATGCAATTAAATCTACTTACTTTTAATGTAATATTAACAGTTCTCCTTTCTGGAAAAAATAAAAATAATAATCACAGCACTGGTGTCCTTAGCAAGATCCTGATTCTTTGGTCGAATAAGTCTGACCGCATTAATTGTGCTTTTAATTCAGAGTTTCTTGTTAATTACGAATCAGGTACATGAGTTTTGTAATCTTTATGGCCACATATTTGTAATCTTTCTGATTACCCAAAATTTTAATTAAAATCTGTAACATGTTTTATCTCAAAGACTGAGACAGCAAGAAAAGAAGAAAAAAATCGTTGAAAAGAAATTTGAGTTTAAATAACGCTACTGAAATAGAACAACAAAATATATGCACATGATAGAAGGCTGAGTTTTTGTGTTTTATTGAGAATGGTTAGTTTCTTCATTTTAATCTATCTAGTTAGATGCATCATGCATGTGACTATGTGAGTAAACACTTCTTCTTATGAATTATCAAATTATATATAAATATTTCTAAATGCATTCCAATAAAGGTTTTTGATCCAGAATTTTTTGTAGTTAACTAAGAATCGGGTATGTGAGTTTTGTAATCTTAAAGTAACACATTACACATGGTAGGGCCATCAAAAACTGGAACTGATATTTACCCTCTGACCATATTCCTTTCTAATTAGCCAAAAGTATAATTAAATTAAGAATGGAGTAAGTAAAAATGTGTTACAAGAAATTTGAGGATAAATATCCTTAATGCAACAGCAAAAGAAACACTTTTCACATGTTTCTTCATTTCATTCCAGTTAGAATAAACTGCACTATAATTTCATTGCATTTTCATCGTAATAACCACAGAAATCTTTCAAACCACAACAGTTAAGATGAGGATGAGTTCCAAGAGATTTACAGCATTCTTTGTTTTTTGGTATCATTTCCCTGTTGCTCTCATGGTTTCTTCAATGTACCAAAACTCAAGCTTGTCTATTTTTGAGGTGTTATCCAAAGGCATGGAAGCAGGAGAATCAACTCAAAACGTTGCAAACAATGGTCTTCAATATGGAGAAAGAGTCCACAATATATATCAGATGAGAACTTAAATAGAAGTTACAATAATAATGTGTTGGTGGTTAGTAATAGCAGTGTATAATAACATCCTTAAATATTAGCATCTTTATTTTCTAATTGTTTGTTTCAAGTTACATGCTTTTGTTCTCTATGTGTGGACCAAAATTCACTATACTTTGATAAACTTTGCAAAGTTAAGGTGTTGCAAGGCGATTTTCAAAATGGAACCTCTACCACTGAGATTTGGCTGCAACCTTTTTTTATGCCATCCTCACTGATCGTGCTTCTTGTAAAATTTGAGAAAGACAAACATGGCCTATTTTGCGAGCCATTTCTCAACTCAACTTGGACACTGCATGAGAACTCACAATTTTGGAATGAAAACCATTTTGAAACATATCAAACACGATAGAGAAAAACATGGCTAGAAATTCATCAAAGGAGGATTTACAATTACATTTACCATCAACACTATATTTATTAATCTACAACACACCCTTAGTGATCCTGAGAATTTTTTTCACCGTGACCTTAGCCAACATATTCTCCAAAAGTTCCCTTTGTGATTTTGAGATCTGACCAATACTTTGTCCCTTCCCTTTTCATGACCCAAAACCTTAATGCTAGTGGCTATTTAAAAAATTTCAATGTATTATTTCATGTGAATTCTAACAAGTTGAGTCAACGTTTGGGTCACGGTCACGTGATTCCACTTCTAATAAATTTTTGAGACCTAAACCCTATCATTATAATCTATCGATAACAAGTCGTACAAATATGATATTGTTGTTCCAAAATTATCCACCAAGTGGGCTTTTAATTTAAGTGGAGTAGTGGACCACAAGTTCAAGATATTTCGAACAAGTCCACGTAGGTTGGGCTAATGTTTGGGTCAGGTGGTTCTACAATCAATGTATTGAATATTCGAAAGAAAAATGTTATCACCCACGTCCAAATACCTGTATAAAAACATTGGAACCACGACAAAAAAAAAAAAGAGTAGAAAACATCACAAATGTTAGTGTATGTTTTCAGGTGAATGATCATGTTAGATTTCACGTCGTAAGCCACGACATAAAACAACACTAATTTCAGGTCAACCTTGGACTTTCATAATTTCATTCTTGGCCTCCGTATAATGTTGATTATTCAACTTGCGTTTCAAAATGTTCTTCTCTAATGACTAGAACCACGAATTTTCCACACATCATCAATATAAAACTAGCATTGCGCAAGCAACAATTATACTTGAATTAACCACAGAAAACATTAGAGAAATCAATAGTGATGGAAGATGTGAAGGTGTTTGGACTATGGGCAAGTCCATTTACCCAAAGGGTTGTTTGGGCACTGAAATTGAAGGGTGTGAGTTATGAATACATTGGTGAAGATCTTGCTAACAAGAGCAACCTCTTATTGCAACACAATCCAATCTACAAGAAGGTTCCAGTTCTTGTGCATAATGGAAGAGCAATAGCAGAGTCAATGATAATTCTTGAATACATTGATGAGACATGGCCTCAGACACCTCTATTGCCTCAAGATGTTTACCATCGATCTAATGTTCGTTTCTGGTCAAAATTCATCGACCAAAAGGTAAGTAATGTGCAAACTTTTCTACCATGTTTTTTCATATTTTTACAAGAATGATTAACTCATGGATTTCAGTCTTCCTAAGCCCCTGTTTGCTTCCACTGATTTACTATTCACGACAAAGGAAAGGCGAAAATCGAACATGTTTGTTTCCAGTGAAATACGAAGAAAGAAAAGTGAGGAAAAGCGGGAGAGGTGTACGGAGGGTTCTTCAATAAACCATGAAGAAAAGCGAAAAAAGCCACGTTGGCAAGGATTGAAAGACGTGGTTACCCCTCTAAAAATTACGTGCATAATCAATTATGCAGGAGTACATAATCGATTATGTATCAGCATAATCGATTATGCAGGGGCACATAATCGATTATGTGCTAGCATAATCGATTATGCATATAATCGATTATGCATGACACATAATCGATTATGGTGGCACATAATCGATTATGTGCCATACATAATTGATTATGGTGGCACATAATCGATTATGTGTAATACATAACGATTATGTAACATTTTTTCGCTTTCAGGCGTGACCAGAACGGACCATTCCAAAATTGGAACGACCCGTTCCAATCTAAAAAACAAGGGTACTTTAATAGCTTAGAACGGGGCGTTCCCAAACTAGAAAGGGCCATTCCCAAACCGGAACGGGCCGTTCCCAACTAGTAAATTGGCCTAAAAACGCTATTTGAGAACGGGCCGTTCTAGTTTCTTAAAAATACAACCCCAAATTTGTAATGTTAAAAATTTCTTAATTTTTTAATCGGTAAAAATTAACTTGTATAATTAAAAAATATATCTTCATTTCATTCTAATTTATGTCAATAATTTATCAATTTTTTAATTTATTAATTAACTTTCAAAAAAATTATTGTACATTTTTTTTATATTAAGAAAATTCTATTATTTAAATATTGACATCAAAAAGTGAAAATAAAAAAAAATAATACATGTTTATAAAATTAAAATAATAACACTTTCATAAATATTAATAAAATAATGTTAAAAAATATAATTATCATAATATATTTTGTTATTATTATTTATTATTATAAATATTATTATTATTATCATTATTATTAATATTATTATTATTTATTATATTTAATATCATTATTATTTATTATGATTCTTATTATTTTTTTAATATTTATTATTATTATTTATTATTTTTTTAATAAATTATACCTATTAATATAATTTTATTGTAATTATTATTATTTACAATAAATAATATTATACTCATTTTTAATCCAAGGGTAAAAGTGTAAATTACATATTCATCTATTAAATTTTTAATTTTTATCTATCATTAAATTTAAAGCAAATATTTAAATTAAATTATTTTTAAATTAATTTTTTATAATTTTTTTAGTTAAAATTTATATATTTATCTTTTAATTATAATAATTATAAACTTT